CAAATCATTAGAAGGTGTAAACGCATTAATTATCTCAGGTTTATTGTTCAAAATGATGGTGATATAGATGGGGATGTTATAAGTAGAATTCAAGTTGAAGTGGAGGAATGCATCGGGGCTATTGTGTAATGGGAAAGTACCGCTTAGACTAAAAGGAAAATTTTTTAAGATGGTGATGAGAATTGCAATACTCTATCGCGCTGAATGTTGACCTTTAAAAAAGAAGCATAAAACAAAGTTGTGTTGTTGAGATGAGAATGCTTAGGTGGATAAGTGGCTTGACACTTAGAGACATAATGTGAAATGAATATATCCGTGACCGGTTTGGTGTAGCTCTAGTGATAGAAAATATTAGAGAGAGTCGTCTTAGATGGTTTGGTCACATTAAACATTAACCATCTAATGATCCAATTATGAGATTAGATGTTTTATATTCAACTTATGTTAAGATAGGCAGAGGTAGACCTAAAAAGTCTTGGGCTTATTGTATAAAAAAATGATCTTATTTATTAGAATAAAATGAAAATATGACACAATAGGACACAATGGAGAAATATGACACTCGATAGGACGCAATGGAGAAAAAGGATTCATGTAGCTGACCCCACTTAGTGGGATAAAAGCTTGTTGTTGTTGTTGTTGTATAATCCATTATGTTCAATTTTATTATTTGACTCTTCAATTCGAATACAAAATAGTCTTTTGACTCCTCAAACATGACTTGTTCAACTACACATTTAGGAATAAATTCAATACATTTTTGGGTTTTTACTTACATAGCACCCAATTCTTATGTATTTACATCCAAACTTTGATTTTTACAAGTTAAAAGGTGCTTAACTTGTAAAAATTAATGTTTGGGTGCGAGATAAGTAAATGCATAAGAATTGGGTGTTATGTATGTAAATTTCTTTACATTTTTTAAAATATAGGCTCATATTTAGGCGTTTTTATAAGAAAGTTAGGTTCACATTCAAAAATAAATTCAAGTTCTGATTTAGGTTCAAATATGATCTTAAACTTTATTTTGGTTTCAAACGCAATGTATTTTTGTGACTTAGATTCAAAATTAATCTTACATTCAAATTTGATTTCAGGCAGCTATAAACTCTATTTTATTTTTAATATTAGACTCTATTGTTCTCAGTAGTTCTTATTTGCTTATGACTTCTAGCTTAATGCGGACTCAAATTCTTATTTTGATGTGATTTCATGTTTAAATTCATGTTCGTATTTAAATTTTAACTCTTGAATTGTATGCTTAAGCATATATCCATATTCTAATATAATTACAAATGAGTAAAGTGTCAAAAAAGTTCCCTGACTATTTACATTGGGTTATTTTTGTCACAGAGTTAAACAAATATTAAATTAGTCCCCAAATTCTCTTAATGAGGTCTGAAATAGTCCATTGGGAACTATTTCGACAAATATTAAAACTGCTTGGGGACTAAATTGAAATTTTTATAAACTCAAGACTAAAAGAACTCTACCTTTTTTTTTGTTACAAATTCAGATTCAACTCAAGTGGATGTAGACTCATATTGTAATTGTGAGTCTTCTTTTGCATATAATATATTATCAAAATAATCTTCAATTTTTTTTATTACATTAGATTCGATTATGTACAACTCTTTTATTGGGGTGTGTTTGTAAGGTTTTAGAGGAGAAGATTATGGTTTTTTATAGGGACTTTAATATGATTAATTTCATTACTGATTATGTTTGATTTTTTTTTATTTCTTTTTTTTTTGCTTTCATAAAGTAACCAAAATCTCATCCTTCTGTAGATCTGTTAACTCTCCCCATGTTGTTGAGTCTCGCTTGGTAGTTATATACATACATACATAAGATACATACATATATAGATATGTATATGTATGTATGTATGTATGTATGCATGTA